AAATTAGAAGCACAAATCCTCTTAGTTGTTGCTTTTAATTTCATATCACAATTATTCAGGGGGCAATTCAATATCAAATTCCATCTCTCTCCCTATTCTTTGATGGAACTTGTGTTACCTTTGGATTATAATATTGCTTGAGACCTCTGAATGTATTCAGGAATGAGAAAGGGAGTGGGAAACATTTGTAAGAAGTCTAAGCAAAAGAAGCAAGGTTTAAAGACTGGGAAGTGATTGGTTGAGTTGAATTTCTATCTGCATTCTGGTATAGCAGAAGGAAAACTAAAAAACCTTTGTCCTGAAGAGCTGCATCAGGGAGATGCAGCTCTTTGGCTGCTTGGGGGAGCATCACCTGTCAAATGTCTGCCTGTTCACATCCCTCCTAGCAGCATGCTCAAGTGGGAAGAACAAACAATTGACGAGCAAGAAGCTCACTTGTAAAACCACAATGAAGACAACATCTTCATCAAATTGTACAGCCCAGAATCTGAGATGCCCAAAATAAATGTAAAGTTAAGAAAAAGGATTTTTCTCTTACTAACGTACAAGAGCGTTGGCCACCTTCAAGTGACAGTACCTTCAAAAATCCAGAGTTCATAATTAAAAAGGTACATGCCCATTGCTTTTGTTTCCACTGGTAAATTCATTTGTCTGGGGCTGCCAGTTGTGAAGGTTAGACTCAAAAAACATTCCTTTCCTGGTCAGTATACAGAAATAGGAAATGCACAGATTTAAACAACTATGGCTAAAATTTACATGGATTCTCGCCCAAATGGGTCTGTGTACTGGAAATTAGGTCACTGCTCCTGAAGCTCTTTCCACACTCCATTCATTTATCCTGCTTCTCTCCTGCATGGACACATCCATGAGATAGGAGGGAATGGCTCTTAGTAAAACTTTTTCCACACTCTATGCACTTATATGGCTTCTCTCCTGTGTGGATCCTTCTGCTCCTGAAGCTCTTTCCACACTCCATTCATTTATCCTGCTTCTCTCCTGCATGGACACATCCATGAGATAGGAGGGAATGGCTCTTAGTAAAACTTTTTCCACACTCTATGCACTTATATGGCTTCTCTCCTGTGTGGACCCTTTTATGGGAAGTAAGCTTACTGTGTTGCCTGAAGGCCTTCCCACACTCCATGCATTGATACGGCTTCTCCCCCGTGTGGATCCTTTGATGAATAGTTAGAGAACTATTAAAACTGAAGCTCTTTCCACACTCCATGCATTTATATGGCTTCTCCCCCGTGTGGATCCTTTGATGAATAGTTAGAGAACTATTAAAACTGAAGCTCTTTCCACACTCCATGCATTTGT